TGTCCAAACTGCAATTTCATTTTCAGGCATAGATGAAAATTTCATCGTTTTCTGTTGGTTTTGTTTCACAAAAAGCTCTTTTGGGACGTACAACCACATTCTCAAAACAGCCAGGGTTTGTTTCACTGAGGTTCTGCAAAAGCTGTATCCTTAAACTGCGACCAGAAACTAAGAGTGCTCTGATCCTGTGACTCCCTGAGCTGATCTCCAATAATCTCACCAAGGCTGAGGGCTTTCCTCAGCCCCAGGACTTGGAACTAACTATGGGTTTACTTTCTGGTTGGGAATAGTGTCTTCGGAAACGGACGGAAGAGCACATGATCCAGTTGGAGTCGATAAATATACGTTACAGGCGGCTGGCCAGGGAACAGGGCATCAGATTGGCCAGCAAGCTGAAAGGAACGGTGCATGATGGGAACCAGAGGTGGGATAACCTCCAGAGAAGAGTTGGCATCATCTGCAAAAGGCTAAAGGTATTTGACTGCTCCCTGTTAAACCCCCTGGAGGTGGTTTGGCTGCTTCCGCTGTCTGTCCCTGCAGAGATAAAAGTTCAGAGGAGATCTAATTGAGGTTTTCAAAATCATGAGTGGGCTGGACAGGGTAGGTAGAGAGAAACTGTTACCACTTGTAAAAGAAACAAGAATGAGAGGGGCACAGATAAAAGTGATGTGCCAATCAGGTAAAGGTGATGTGAGAAAGAACTTTAACTCTCAGTGAGTAGTTAAAATGGACTGGAATGCACTGCCTGGAAATGTGGGAGGAGGCAGGTTCAATCAAGATATTCAAGGGTATTGGATTTGTTTTTGAACTGGGATAGTAATGGTGTGTGGGAATATGAAGAGGGTGAAGGCAGAGATTAGGACTAGGTAATAAAGGTGGTATAGGTACAATGGGCTGAATGGCCTTCTGCACTGTAACAGTGATTGTCATAGCATGGGATGTTGACATCACTGGTAGGGCTCATGTTTATTGTCCATCTCTAATTGCGCATTGAGAAGGTGGTGGTGAGCTGCCTCCTTGAACCACTGCAGTCCATGTGCTGTAGGTTGACCCACAATGCTGTCAGGGAGGGAGTACAGGGAACAGGGATATAGTTCCAAGTCAGGAATGATGTGTGGCTTGGAGTTGGACATGCAGTTAATAACATGAGGGAACGTTGACACCAACAGTCAGGAAGGATGGAATCACTTGTACTGGAGAGCTCCATTACACAGAGATTAGCATTCTGTATGTCAATAAGAGTTTCAGACAATGGTCGCCCCAGACCAGGCAGAGAGCTAGAGGCAGCATGTGGAGACCAGGAAGGAGTCAGGGAGCCATCTCTCAGCAGGACAGAACACAAACCCAAGTCCCCGAATTTGTGACAGCCTAGCCCATGTCAACAAAGGGGCAGCAAGGTCAGACTGAGCCCAGAACCCAGCCCGCAACAGCACAGACACTCTCTCTGCAGGGGTGGTGAGACTTTAACACCACTTCATTGACCGGAAAGCATTACGTGGAATTTCCAAGGCAATGGAAGGCGCGATAAAAATTGAGTTGTTTTTTTAAATCCATGTCCTCAGTGACATGCTTGTCCTGGTGGCAATGCTCTGACAGTGCAAATTCTGTGGCTGTTTTTATGTTGCTTGGTATTTCTGACTTTGATCCACATGGGATTCTAAGTTCTGCTCTGGGTGACGTTTTCCCGCTCACCCATACTTCGTGTGCTTCTCAGTAATTATTAGATGCGTGCCCTCGCTTTCAAATCCAGGATTCCCCCCCCCCCCCCCCCCCCCCCACCAAGAAGATGACCATTCATTCCTGCCTGTCCTACCCCTCTATGGGGGCAATCTGAAAGGAATTCCATTGCCCGGAAATCTCCCATCACAGGGCAGAGCGGGAAAGGCCTGGGGAGAGTTGGTGACCAAATGGTAATGTTGCTGGATTGTAACCCAAAGGCCTGGCCTGGAGCTCAGGGGATCCAGGTTCAAATCCCGCCATGGCATCGGTACATATTAAATTCTGTGTATAAATCTAGTATTGAGAGCTGGTCCTAGTGATGGTGACTCTGACAGCTATCAACCATCATCAGGAACAACCCACCTGGTTTGCTGATGTCCTTTTAGGGAGTGAAATCTGCTGTCCTTACCCGGTCTGGCCTACACGTGACTCCAGACCACACGGCGATGTGGCTAATTCCTCCACTGCCCTCTGGAATGGTCAAGCAAGCCACTCAGTTCAAGAGCAATTAGGAATGGGCACTAAATGCTGGCCTTGTCAGCGAGGTCCAGTAAGAAAGAGGAGGGAAAATTCTCTGAAAAGCCTTTGTTACATCTTAGTTTACATTCTAAGCTCTGGAGTCTCTTGTTGCTCGCCCCTACCTCATTACTGCAGCCTCCTGCCTATGAGACCCTCTGGAACATTCTCCCGAGTGTTGACTGTGGTTCCTGTGGTTTACTATATAATGGGGCCTTGGACTGGGCAGCACAGACTGTAACTGTGGCCTAGCTTTTGCCTTGTTTCAACTCGCACCATTTTACTACATGCCATTGACCATGTAGGATGTAAGAGCCCAAAAGGCCATTCAGCCCATCGAGTTTGCTCTGCCGTTCAATGAGATGATGAGCAAATGATACCTCCAACTCAGTCATACTTCAGGGCCCTTGCATGCTCTCTACATTAACCTGATAGATCCATTAAAGAAATTACTCCCCCAAATAAACCAAATGGAGCCAAATTAAGTAGATGTCAGCCCCTCAAAGGGGCACTGTAAATAATGAAAATCGCAAAAGGAAGGTTACAGATTTAAATTAAAATGTGGTTATTGGGACTGACGATGCACTACAGCCCCTGATGGTCTCTTTTTGTACCACTTTAAATATTCCAAACTAAAATGTGATGGCCCCTTTTCAAAGGGAATAAAGTTCAAATCCCAAATGCAACTTACAATTCTTAAATTCAAACTTGTCCCTGGAGAGGGATCGTGAACTTGCTGTGCCCACTGGTCTTGGCAGTCTTTCTTTATTAAGTACTCTAGCAACTTAATTAAACAATAATTCTCCTGTCTCTTACTATTCATGTGGATGTCTAATTATATTGTTCTGTTGTGAAGGCCTCGAAAGCAGCATCACTGGGTGAGCTGATCTGCCTGATAGCAGACTCCCTAAGCAATTGCTCTAACCCTCAGCAGGACACTCCCAGGTCGATGACGAAGATGTTTCAGGGATGTTCTCAAAGCATCTGGAGAGGTCAAGGGTCCCTGTCAACATGCAGGTGACTCTGGCTGTCCATATGTAGAGACAAGTGCCAGAGAGCGCACAGACCACTGAAACATGGGTAGCAAAGTCGACGAGTTACATTCTCCTCACCAGGTACCTGTCCACCAGCCTGAGGGAGTGCCCAAGGAGGGACGGAGGTTGTTGGCGTGTGTCTGTAACGTTCAGTCATGTTCGGTCAGGGCCTGATGAACAACTGTGTCTTGTCCGCAGTATTTTGTAACCCAGAGGGAAGAGCTTGAGGCCGAGAGGGAGAACCTGTGGCTGCAGCTAATGCAGTTGGACATCCGGTGCTCCGAGCTGGAATATTTCTCCCAGGAAGAGGCAGCGGAAAAGCTCGATTCACTGCAGGTATTGGGAGTGTGGGCCAGTGATGGTGGGAGGGGCTTGTGTCTGTCTGAAGGAGGTGTTCACATTGAGGCAACAAGTTCAACGTTCCACAGATTCACAACCCTTTGAGGGAAGTACTTCCTCCTCCTCCCTGTTTTTAAATCCGCCACTCCTTATCCTAAAATTATAACCTCTTGTTCAAGATTTCCCCTTTAGCATCTTATATACTTCAATTATGGGCAGCATGGTGGCTCAGTGATTAACACTGCTGCCTCACAGCTCCAGGGACCCAGATTCAATTCCATCCTTGGGTGACTGTCTGTGTGGAGTCTGCACATGCTGATTTTGATCTGATTTATTGGTGTCACATGTACCTAAGTACAGTGAAAAGTTTTGTTTTACGTGCAGTGCAAAGGAGATCATAACATATAAGGATATAAGATCATAGGGTGCTTAGACACAGCGAGGAATTCAAGGTTTTGGCTTCCTTCACAGGAGGTGCACAAAGCAGACATTAGATTTGAAGTTAGAGTGTCCATTCAGCAGTCTAATAATGGCGGGGAAAGAAGCTGTTCTTGAACTTGTTGGTGCGTGTGTTCAGGCTTCTGTGTCTTCTGCCTGACAGAAGAGGTTGTAGGAGAGCATTACCGGGGTGGGAGAGCTCTTTGATGATGTTGGCAGCCTTTCTGCGGCACTAAGGCATAAATGGAGTCCACGGATTGGAGATCGGCTTCCGTAATGGACTGGACTGTGGCCACAACTTTCTGTAGTTACTTACGGTCCTGGGCAGAGCAGTTGCCATACCAAATAATGATGCATCCTGATAGAATGATGGCGTCTCCTGACAGTGCAGCAGCTCCTCAGCGCTGCACTGGGAGTGTCTGTGCTCAAGCCCCAGATTGGGATGTGAACCCAGAACCTTGTGGCTCAGAGGTGAGTGTGTTACCTACTGAGCCACAGCTGATGCTCAGAACTCTGGAGCTAATATCCCTGTCCTCTCGCAGAATTCCACACTCCGTGCTTCCTTGCGGATGATGCTGAGAGTTTGGAACAACTGGATACAGGAAGTAACTTCTGTTATAAATTTCCGTGTGGAAATGGATTGATTTTGTGGGGTGAACCGCTGTGTCCTGGGCAGGGTGAGGGGTGGTATAACCAGCTCCGCATTTACCTCCTTTGTCTTCTTGCCTCATGCAGCAAAAAACTGGCAGCATCACCGAGGGAATCAATGCCCTGCTGAGGGTGGCAAGAACCCTGCTGCAGAAATGTGAGCCCCAAGACGGGGTGACAATCGAAGCCGAGGTTCAGGATCTCCTCCGGTTCCAGCAGGAAGTGTTTGGACAAGTGGATCGGCTCCATAGGAGATGCCACAACATTGGCCGGGTGAGGCCTGGGATCCACTGGAGCTGGAATTTGATGGACTGTCAATCCCAAATGTTCATTCATGTGGCGTGGGCATCACTGACAAGACACTGTCACCCTTCCCTAATTGTTCTTGCATGTCTCGAAGGGCCATTTCTAAGACCATAAGATACAGGAGCAGAATTAGGCCATTCAACCATACCTGATGTATTTCTCAACCCCATTCTCCTACCTTCTCCCCATAACCCTCCGTCCCCTTACTAATGAAGAACCTCCCTCTCTCTCTCTCTCTCTCTGACTTAAAGACACTCAATGACTTGGCCTCCATAGTCTTCCATGGCAATGAGTTCCATAGATTCACTCCTCTGGCTAAAGAAATTTGTCTTCATCTTAGTTCTAAAGGGTCACCCTTCATTCTGAGGCTCTGCCCTCGGATCCTAGTCTGTCCTTCTAGTGGAAATATCTTCTCCACGTCCAATCTATCCAAGCCTCTCAGTACTCTAAGTTTCAAACAGGTCCCCCTCATCCTTCGAAACTCTGAGTACAGACTCCGAGTCCTCAGCTGCTCCTCGGTTGACAAGCTCTTTATCCCTGGGATCATTCTTGTAAACCTCCTTTACCGACCGCACCCTTCAAGGCCAGCACATCCTTCCTTAGATACAGAGCCAAAAACTATTCTCAATATTCCAAATGTGGTCTGACCAGAGTCTTATACAGCCTCAGCAGTACATCCCTGCTCTTGTATTCTAGCCCTCTTGAAATGAATGTGAACATTGCATTTGCCTTCCTAAATACTAACTGAAGCTGCATGTTAACCTTTAGAGAGTCTGGAACTAGGACTCCCAAGTCCCTTTGTGCTTCAGATTTCCAAAGATTTACTCTGTTTAGAAAATAGTCTATGCCTCTTCTTCCTACCGAGTGCATAACCTCACACTTTTTTCCCATATTGTATTCCATCTGCCACTTCTTTGCTCGCTCTCCCAGCCTGTCCAAGTCCTTCCGCAGCCTCCCTGCTTCCTCAACACCACCTGCCCCTGCACCTATCTTTGCGTCATCTGCAAACTTAGCAACAATGTCCTCAGTTCCTTCGTCCATGTCGTTAATATATAACGTGAATAGTTGTGGTCCCAACTGCAGAACTCTACTAGTCACCAGCTACCATCCTGAAAAAAGATTCCTTTATCCCCACTCCCTACCTGCTGCCAATCAGCCAATCCCCTATCCATGCCAGTACCTTGCCCCTAACACCATGAGCTCTGATCTCTGATCGCTGTGTGGCACCTTGTCAGTGGCCTTCTGGAAATCTAAATAGATCACGTCCACTGACTTTCCTTTGTCTAATTTGTTTGTTACCTCCTCCGAGAATTCTAACAGATTTGTCAGAATTCAGAGAGCAGTTATGATTCTGTCTTATCACTATGGGCCTGGAGTCGTGCGTAGGCCAGGTAAGGATGGCAGATTTTGTTCCCATTAGTGACCCAGGTGGGTTTTTACAACAATTGATGAATTTCAGATGACCATTAAACAAGACTAGCTTTTAGTTTCCGATTATTAATTGAATTTAAATTCCACCAGCCGTCCTGGTGGGATTTGAACCCATGTGCTTGGATTACTGGTCCGGTAACCTTACCATGACACCACTGTCTCTACACTTTTTAATGTTGAGTCTGGAAGGCTGTGAAGTGCCTCATTGAAGGGTAGGATTATATCCAGTATGCCTACCTCAAGCTTTGTTAGGGGCAGTGCAGGAGACTGAGGTCAAAGACCAGAGTGGACGTGAAATTAAAGGGATGAATGACTGGAATCTCTAGTCGTGTGTGGACAAAGAGGAGAGGTGTCCCCCAGAGTGCTCATCCCAGTGATGTTTCAGGTTCCTGAGGGAGAGTTGACTGCATGGTGAGCAGGGGTAGGAGGTATCGAGAACGGAAAGGGCGAGTTCCGAGTGTGGAAATTTGCATCTACCTGCTGATCTTTGCGACGTCATCCCAAAGTGCAGTGGTTGTTTTCACACGCACCCTGACAACACATTAAGTATTGGGGTGACTCGAGTGCTTTTTAATGCCTGCCCCAACTTCACTCCCTCAGCTACTGACTGCAGCCCTCTGCATGGCAACACGCTCTGAGATGAAGCCTTACAATCATGTTCGGTCCTGATTTCAGCCATTGATCCCATTTGTACAGTCACTAAGACTGTCGTCTATCCCCACCTCCAGAGCACGTTGCCATTCCTGCTGCTGAATCCCCTCTGAGCTGCTCACCATCCCCACTTGGAGAAATATATTGCCGTTCCTTCAGTGTCGCCGGGTCAAAGTCCTGGAATTCCCTCCCTAACCCTCCCTAATAGCATTGTGAGTCAACCCGCAGCAGCTCAAGAAAGCAGCTCACCACCAACTGCTCAAGGGGCAATTAGGGACAGGATAAATTCTAGACCAGCCAGCGATGCTCACGTCCCACAAGTGAGGATTTTTTTTTTAAAAAAACTTCCCTCTTTGATGCCTCTGTCACCTCCAACTATTCCAATTCCTTCTCGCTGGTCTCCCAGCTTCATAAACTTCAGATCCTCAAAAACTCTGCCCCATTTTGCCAGTGCTCACTGACCTATATCAGCTAAGGTTTTCTTCTTGTTTTCAAAGCCCTCCATTGTCTCACTCCTCTCTGCCTCTGTCTGCTCCACGACCCTTCGAGATCCGTGTTCCTCTCATTACAACCTCTTGTGCTCCCCGAACTCTCCCTTCAGCTGTCGGGGCCTTAAGCTTTGGAATTTCCTTCCTAAAGTTCTGGGCCTCTCTACCTTGCTTTCCACTTTAAAGTTGCTCCTTAAACCCTACCTTTGACCAATAAGCTGTCCTAATGTGACCTTGCGTCACAATGTTCAATTTTGTTTCATGACTTTACTCTGGTGTAGGCACTATGTAAATGCACATTGTTGAAGTTTAGTTTCTGGGCCACTGTCCACAAACTGATCTGCCCTTTCTCCATATTCCAGACATCTGACAGACTGGAATCCCTCAGTGGAGGGGGCCTTGGGTCTGAGAGCTGCTGTGACAGGATCCTGGAGGTCGGACAATGCTGGCAGCAATTGTTGCAGCATCTACTGTCTGAGGGGGTTCCCATCGACCAGCCCCCTGGCCATTCGAACCCGAGCAGCGTGGACTCTTTACCCCTGGAGTGGGACTCGTCTGTAGACATTGGAGACTTGAGCACACTAGAGGGCAGTGTTTCCCTTTGTAGCTCAGAGCTCGGTATGTGATCATCGTTACTGGAGAGTGTCTTCATTTTTTAAAAAAATTTAACCTACTTTTCTAATCAACCTGTTGGGAGATCTTATTGCACACCTCTGGAGCAGGTGGGACTTGAACCTGGGCCTCCTGGTTCCAGGGTTAGGGACACTACCATTGCTCCACAAGAAGATCCCCTTAGTCTAGTGATAAATACCATTTGGCCAAGAGAGTCTTAATAGGACTGAGGGAGAAGTGTACGTGTCTCACAGGTCCTTGTGGCATTGGGGTAGTGCATTGATCAGCAGAAACGTCCCAGTGATGTAGATGTATAGCTCTACCTTTCACATCCTTATAAACACTTGGCCTTTTGACCCCACTTCCCCATTCAATTTCCCATGATGTGGAGGTGCCTGTGTTGGACTGGGGTGGACAAAGTCATAAGTTGCACAACACCAGGTTACAGTCCAACAGGTTTATCTGAAATCACAAGCTTTCGAAACGCTGCCCCCTTGACTTCACCTGACATAGGAGCAGGTAAATCTGTTGGACTATAACCTGGTGTTGATGCGACTTCTGACTTGGTCTATTCAATCAGATCATGGCTGATCTGATTTTAACCTCATTGCTACATTCCTACACATCCCCCGATAATATTTCATCCCCTTGGTCATCAAGAATCTATCTCCCTCTGAAATATTTAGATTCTGCATCGACTATTTTGTGAGGACGGGAATTCCAAAGACTGTTTCCTCATTTCTGTCCCCTTGTTTTTTTAAACAATGTCCCCAAAGCTTGTGAAATGTTGGAACATGAAATGTGGCATCTGGTTTGCGCACAGCAAGACTTCATAAAGTGTACAGTGAACCATTAAGGGATAGTGGGAAATGGTGATCTAAAGGTCATATCACTGGCTGAATAATCCAGAAGTTCAGGCTAACACACTGGAGGTGAGAGTTCAAATCCCATCACAGCAATGTGGGCAAATCTTAACTACCTCTGAAATGACCAAGCAAAGCCATTCAGTTTGAGGGCAATTAGGGATTGTCCACAATACCACATCCCAAGTTAAGACTGATTTGTTTTCAGTTATGTTGGTTGATGGGTAAATATGGCCTGGAAGTTGGAGAGGAGGTTCTGCACTAGTCTGCAGTAAAATGGATACATCCCGAGTTACAGCCAGTGCTACACAAGCTGTGCTCTCTCTCGCTCATTTTTAAAAAAATGAGTCAGGAGTTTCAGCTTTGTTCCTGAGCTTAGACAATACGTTCCAGTGCGATACTAAGGGAGTTCTACACTGTCAGAGGTGCCACTTTCAAATTGGAACAAGACCTTTATCTGCCATCTCAGTTGATTGTAAAAGCCCCCCACCCATTGTGTTATTGGAAATAGAGCAGAACTGCTTTGCTCTATGCCCCGGCCATAGGATTAATCCTGGTTCAATGAATAGAATCATAGAGGTATGCAGCATGGAAACAGGCCCAACTCATCCACGTTGACCACGTTTCCTAAACTGAACTAGTCCCACTTACCTGTATTTGACCCATATCCCTCTAAACCTTTCCTATCCATGTATTTGTCCAAATGTCTTTTAAATGTTGTAATTGTACCCACCTCTAAATAAGACACAAAGGGCATATTTTTAACACAGTGGTTCGTGTATGGAATGAACTTCCAGAGGAAGTGGTGGATGCGGCTACAGTTACTACATCCAAAAATCTTTTAAATAAGTACACAAGTAAGAAATGTTTGGAGAGATATGGGCCAAGCGCTGGCATTAAAGACTAGCTTAGTTTGGGATTATGGTCGGCATGGACCGGTTGGACCAAAGAGTCTGTTTTTGTGCTGTATGACTCCACTCCACACTGGGGTTGGACCCTGTCTCACCCTTGTGGTCTGTTTCCCCTCTGTAAGTCACTGGTTAAGGTGAACAGACTATTCTTGAGCAAGCGGATGTCTTTTATACATTCGGAGGTATCTGAGTGGGATAGGCGATATGAGGTGTTGCTGTGGTTGGTTGGACAGGGACAGCTGAACAGATTCGGCTCTGTGAGTACGATGAGGGCCTCTCTCTTCAGGAAGTTTCAGTGCCTTGTGTTAGTGGACGAATGGTTGCTGGAGACTGAGAGATCCTGTGCAATGTGTCTTCTGTTTCAGACCAACCCGGTGGCCCAGATGCCTTTGCCAGTCCATGGGGCTGTAGGAGAAGCCGGCAGATCCACGGCAGACAGATATATGACTCCAGCACGACACAACTGGTGAGAACAATGCGGTGGAGCTTGGCTCCAAGTTGGCAGGGTTGTTTTACCATTTATGTGAAGGCAAATCTCCAAAGCCAAGAGATTTTCTCCCTGTTTGCTGAGTTTAAGGTGATGAATTCAATCTGTAGAGGGGGGAAACTCCTCATTAATGTTTGTGTCTACCCATCAGAGTAAGGAGTTTGGAGAGAGACCTTCAGAGATGGATGTTGGCTGCACAGAGACCCTGGCTTGTCCTGACCTTGTTTAGCAAGGACCATGGTCATTCAAAACCTGTCATTTGATAGACTGGGTTTCTCATGAGCTTGATGGTGGTTTCTTGTGTTTCTTGATCGAAAGGTTGCAATATAGAGGTGAGGCACCCTAGGCAAATGTCCGAGGCGCTTTAGGCAAAAACTTGGCAGATAGAATATAGAGAAATGGTGAGGCAATGCACTTTGGCAGGAAGACTACAGGATCTGAATATTAAATAAATGGGGGTGAAAAAAAGACTGCAGAAAGCTACAGAGGATTTTGGGGGAGGTGATGGCCGAGTCGTATTATCGCCAGACTATTAATCCAAAGAGAATGTTCTGGGGACCTCGGTTTGAACCCCATCATGGCAGAAGGTGGAATCTGAATTCCATAAAAATCTGGAATTTAGAGGTTGGCCATGAAACTGTTGCCAGAAAAGAACAATCTGGTTCACTAATGTCCTTTAGGGAAGGAAATCTGGTCTGGACTACATGTGACTCCAGACCCACAGCAATATGGTTGACTCTTAACTGCCCTCTGGGCAATTAGGGATAGTCAATAAATACTGGCCTGGCCAGAGATGCCCACATCCCGTGAATTCTATTGGTACACAAACTGTTGTCTGTTTACAAAATGTGGACTATCCAGTGAAATTGAAGTGGATCTGTTGTGGCGAGTTGATTCTGAAAGTGATCGTTGTGATGATTCCAGAGCCACAGTGACAGAAATGATTTGCCAAAGGCAAAGAATTTGAAGAGTTTTCAAGACGGTTTAATGTTTAGTTGAAGTGTCATTGATTAATCTATCCAATGTACATGTCGCTCTGTTTTCTAATTTGAATTACTTTTTTTGGTCTTATTACACCACCAACGCCAACATTGGTGCTGTAATCCGTACATGAGTTGATGCCCATTTTTGGGAAAAGCATGTCCTGGGTTCAAAGGCTGACTTTGTACCCCTTGATTTACAATACTTGGGCAAGTTTCCATGTTGTTGGGTGAAGGCCAATGTTGCAACAATACAGGGGAGGTGTGGCTCAGAACTTGGCTAATTCTAGAGGATGAGTTCACTGCTATATCTTGGGTATTGGCTTGAGCCCGTGTTATATCCAGGAGGGAATAGAATTGGCTGAAAATCGGCACCTGAGATGGTGGGAGAAGCTCAGGTGGGTTACCTACTCGACACTTCTGGCTGGATGTAGTTGCAAAGCTTTCAGCCTTGTATTTTACTAATGTCTGAACAGGAGTAGGATATTCAACCTGTCAGGCCTTACTCTGCTATGCCATGAGATCGTGGCTGATCGTCTACCTTAATGCCACTTTGTTTGATTAATTGAAGTGAAATTCTCCAGTTGCTGCGCAGGATTTGAATGTGTCTCTGGATCATTTGTCCTTGCTTTGAGGTGAATAATCCAATAACATCACCAGTGCACTGTCTGATGATGGGTCTCTGTGTGTGTGTGTTTGGCTACTGCTCTCTCTCGCACTTGCTCTCACTCTACCTCCTAGCTGTGTCTCTCTCTCTCTCGCTCTCCCCCGACCCCTTCCTTCCCTAGCTGTCTGTCTCTCTCTTTCCCCCCCCTTCCTAGCTGTCTCTCTCTCTCTCTTCCCCCCGCTCCCACAGCTGTCTCTGTCTCTCTCTACACTCACCCCCCTTCCACCCTTCCCCCCCACCCCCAGCTGTCTGTGTCTGTCTCTCTCTAGCTCTCTCTCTCCAACTCCAAACCGCTCCACCCCCTCCACTCCCAGCTGCACCCCACTGCCTTTCCCTCTGGCTGTGCTGCTCACTGTGTTCACTGTTGTTGCTGTTCCCCCCAGATTGATGTGGGCTGTCAGTGTGACTCTGAAGTTAACGTGGTATCAGGTGACCATGGTCCTCTGTTTGACACCCAGTTGCAAGTCAGAGACAGACTCTCCTGGGGTAAGGGAATGCTCTTCTGTCTCTCTCTCTCTCCCTATCCACTGCAGTCAACTGAACACCAAACACCAGGCACAGGGGAACTGGTGGCTGGGTTAGAAGGAGAAGGTCCAGAGGTTGTGGGTTTGGACGGGGGCTCGGGGGCAGGAGGACAAGGATGAGAGTGACGTCATGCTGAGAATGGGAGAGTTTGGGTGCGTGGAGGGAGCCCTGAGGGTACTGGTGGGATAATCTGGAGGTTTGAGGTAGGATCTGGTGACGGGAGTGGGGAGTGTAGGGAGTAAGGCAAGGGATAGATTTGTTTGAGGATCTTTAGGTGAAGTTCCAGGGAGGAGAGTCTCTGGTGGAGGGGTAGTGTCTGCCTGAAATAATGTGATTTATGGGGTTTTAAAAGCATTGTCAAAATTCCAACTGCTTATACTTTCGGCCCTTTGTTTGTCACAACATTCCTGCAGTTCCTGATTTGATACAAACATGTACGCCATTCCACTTAGCCATTGCTGTCCCTCCCTGGCCATTGGCCCAGTTTAACACCGTCTTCCACTTGGCTCCATGAACTGCAGACTTGAAAGAATGTGGCGGAGAACTGTCTCACTTGCCCACTGCCAGGTTTGGACAAATGCCCCCTGACGCTGCCCCATTGTGTCTTTCTCAGCTCCTAAATAGAAATGACTGTTTGATCCCACTCTCCTTCCTCACTGCAGGAAGAGGCCATTCGGCCCATTGAGTCTGCACTGACGCTCCGAAGAGCATCCCACCCAGACATATACGTGGATACTTAAGGCGCAATTTAGCAAGGCCAATTTGGGAGGAAACCAGAGCACCCGGAGGAAACCCACGCAGACACAGGGAGAACATAGGAACTCCACACAGATAGACGCCTGAGGCTGGAATCGAACCCGGGTCCCTGGTGCTGTGAGGCAGCAGCAATAACCACTGAGCCACCGTGCTGCCCATATCCCTTTCCGCATACTATGTAATCTGTTCCCACTGTCATTTCAGTCAGTATACCTCACTTCAGTGTCTTTTAAAGAAAGAAAAATCACAAAGCTTGTGATTTCAAATAAACCTGTTGGACTATAACCTGGTGCTGTGTGATTTCAAACTTAAAAAAGAGGTGACCAAGAATATATATGAGGGCACAGCAGTAGACATTGTCTACATGGGATTTAGCAAAGCCTTCAACAAGGTTCCAAGTTGTAGTCTGGTTAGTAAGGGTAGATCACATGGGATCCAGGGAGAGCTAGCCAATTGGATACAAAATTGGCTTGACAGGAGGAGACAGGGCAGTGGTAGGGGGTTGTTCGTCAGACTAGAGACCTGTGACTACCGATGTGCCGCAAGGATTGGTGCTGGGTCCACTAATCATAGAATCCCTACATTGTGGAAACAGGCCCTTCGGCCCAACAAGTCCACACTGACGCTCACAGGATCCCACCCAGACCCATCCCCCTATAACCCACCTAATCTACATATCCCTGAACACTATGGGCAATTTCCCATGGCCAATCCACCTAGATTGCACATCTTTGGACTGTGGGAGGAAACCCACATTGACACAGGGAGAACATGCAAACTCCACACAGGCAGTCACCTGAGGGTGGAATCAAACTGTGAGGCAGTAGTGCTAACTATCAAGCCACTTAAACGAGAATTGTACCCCGAGACCAACAAGCCATCAGCTGACCCTGCCCCCCACTCCGTACATGGAAACAGACCATTCAGCCCATTGAGTCCACACAACCCTCTAAACAGCATCCTACCCAGACCTGTCCCCTACACAGGGATAGACCTCCGGCTCTGCATTTCCCATGGCTAATTCAGCTAGCCTGCACATCCCTGGATACTATGGGCAATTTAGCATGGCCAATCTACCTAACCTGCACATCTTTGGACTGTAAGAGGCAACTCTCACAGACACGGGGATAACATGCAAACTCCACACAGACAGTCTGCTGAGGCTGGAATTGAACCTGGCCCCTGGCGATGTGAGGCAGCAGTGCTAACCACTGGGCCACAATGCTGCCCTAATTTTTAGAACCTGAATACCATCTTCTATGTGCTTTACCCTTCCCCACACCCCATCATTTAAATAAATAATTTGGATGAGAATATAGGAGGCATGGTCAGTAAATTTATGAATGACGACAAAATGGTGGTATAGTGGACACAATAGGGTTATCTAAGAGTACAACTGGGCCAGTGGGCTGAGGAATGGCAGATGGAGTTCAATTTAGATAACTGCAAGGTGTTGCATTTTCGTAAGGCAAAACAGGCCAGGACTAACCCAGTTACTGGTAGGGCCTGGGGAGTATTGTCAGAAAGACCCAGGGGTGCAGATACATAAATCCTTGAAAGTGGCGTCACGGTAGACAGAGTGGGGGAAAAAGGCATTTGGCACACTTGCCTTCATTGGTCAGAGCATTGAATATAGGCATTGGGACGTTATATTAGATCTGTACAAGATATTGGTAAGGCCACGTTTGGAGCTGCGTACAATTCTGGTCACCCTGCTAATAGGAAGCATGTTATTAAACTGGAAAGTGTGCAAAAAAGATTTACAAGGATGTTACCAATACTGGAGGTTTGATTATAAGAAGAGGCTGAATAGGCTGGGGGGAAAAAAAGACGAAAGAACTGCGGATGCTGTAAATCGGGAACAAAAACAAAGTTGCTGGAAAAACCAGCAGGCCTGTCAGCATGTGTGAAGGAAAAAACAGAGTTAATGTTTCGGGTCTGGTGACCCTTCCTCAGTACACATAGGCTGGGACATTTTTTTCCTGGAGTATAGAAGGCTGAGAGGTTTATAAAACCATGAGGGGCATGGATAAGATGAATAGCCAAGGTCTTTTCCCCAGGGTAAGAGAGTCCAAAACTAGATGGCATAGGTTTAAGGTGAGAGGGGAAAGATTTAAAAGGGTCCTGAGGGGCAACTTTTTCACGCAGAGGGTGATGCATGTATGGAATGGACTGCCAGATGAAATGGTAGAAGCAGGTATAATTACAACAATTAAAAGATCTAACAGCAGGTGTATGGATAGGAAAGGTTTAGAGGGATATGGGCCAAACACATGCAAGTGGGACTTGTTCAGTTTAGGAAACAGGGTTGACATCCCTTCTTAAGGCTTCTTAAACCCCTTTAGTGTACTCTTTAATTGTCACCATCCCTTTTTAAATTTGATTCTCACGATCTTCCTCAACAGTTGTACTGAGGACTATGGGAACGATGAGACAAACAAATTTTGGGAATTGCAGGTAGAGACATGGGAATGAAGCAGAGGCCAAAACAGTTGGCTAATGCCAGTGGATTACAGCGTTCTCATCTATATCTCCAGATGTTGCTGATGCTGTTGGAAAGCCACTCGCAGGGAAGCTGAGGAAGAGCAACGGACTCTGGATGTGGGAACATTTGGACCAGGAAGCAACGAGAGCCTGGGCAGGACAAGGCCATTCAGACTGGCTCCAAGGTCAGAATGTGGGCCCCAGGACAAGGGCCAGATATGTGAAGCAGTGGCTGCAAAGGCTGGAGGTCAGTGAGGTTCAAAATTCCATTTACTAACCAATATTTTCATCATCACTGGGGTACTGGTGCCCCCCCTCCCCACACCCACACACACACATTCTCACTGGGGTACGGGCTCCTACACACACACACCCACACCCAGGGT